CAGAAGCCTGTGATGCAGGGTCAGAAGACGAGTAGTCGTAAGATGGAATCCACGTAATGGAGTGAGCTCCCATCACTTTGTTCCAGCTCCTCGCCAGCCTAGCAGTTCAAAAGCATGTAAATGCGAGTAGATAAGTAGGTACCACCTAGGTGGGAAGGTAAAACGGCGTTCCCTAGTCATGCTAGCCATGTGACAATGGAAACTGTCTTCGGACAAGCGCTGGCTCTACAGCTTGAAAAATAGGATGAGCACCGCCCCCTAGAGTCGGACATGACTGGACTAAAAATGTCAAGGGGAACCTTTACCTTTTAACAGAAGTATAGACTCCAAATTGCGTGAAGCACTAGTTTCCCTCTACTTAGTACAGTTTAGGACTCATTTAGAGTATTATGTCAGTTCTGGAAATGGCACTTTAAGAAGGATGCCGACAAACTGGAACAAGTTCAGAGGGGGGCAGCAAGCATGATCAGGGCACTGGAAACCAATCCCTATGAGGAAAGAACTGGGCATGTTTAGCCTTGAGGAAAGAAGACTGAGGAGAGATATGACAGGACTTTTCAAATACTTTAAAAACTGCCATATAGAGGAGGGGCAGGATCTGTTCTTGATCATCCCAGAGTGAAGGATACATAATAATGGGTTTAAGATACAGGAAGGCAAATTTTGGATTAATATTAGGAAAAACGTCCTGTTAGAGCAGCACAATGGAACCAATGATCTTGGGAGGTGATGAGCTCCTCAACACTGGAGGCATTCAAGAGAAAATTAGACAACCATCTGTCAGATCTCCTTTGATTTGGATTCCTGCATTGAGCAGAGGGTTGGACTTCATGGCCTTGAAGGCCCCTTCCAACTCCATGATTTTATGACCCTAAAGAAGACAAGATTATTGTGAATAAAGAGAATAATCCAACAAAATGCTTTTCTTTCATAGACACTCTGTTTGATGATTGGAATATGAATATTATTTTTGTATCACGTCCTGGAGTTTTAAGAAGTACAATAGTCAGTTATTTAGTCAATACTTGTTTCAAACAACCAGGCTTAGAACGCGGTTACACTCTTGAAAGAAATTGGAATCTAGATTGGGTTTTTTGACGTCAGGTTAAGATCATGTGGTTTTTGGGTTGGTGGGTGTGTGTTCTCTGGGGGCAGTTTTTAATTTGGATGTAAGTTGTGTGGTATATCGGTTAATGGGGCTACATGGGCTTTTAAAATCATTTTAAAATTGACATTGCAGGGTCTAGCTCCCCGTGTTTTGCCCTCCTAAGGCTATGCATTTCTGGAGTGAAATGTCTGCACCAAACCCTAAAATAAAACCCCACAGTGCCATAGCTAGAGGGAGATACTCTGGTTGCTGGCGCCTATTTCTGAAACTGCTTCTAAGGTTTTTGTCCAATGCCTACCTGCCTTGGTGCTGGGTGTGTCTCCACCACCACAGCCACCATCAACTCACTTCCTGCACTGAGAGGACACAGGCCGCAGGGACAGAAGGCATGATCTTCTGTTGTGGTGTGATTTTTAATATTTGTTTTACTTCCTTATTTTTTTTTCAAGTTGGCATAGCACTAGATCAGTTTTACAGATTAGGAAAAAAAATTGGACTTCAAGGTCACACTGCAGCCCAGAATTTGTGATCTTGGCATTCAATACTTGACAAATTCCACAGACACAATATATTTCAACTCAGGCCAGCACACGTGGAAAAACGATTCAAAATATATCACATTTATAACTGAGCTAAAATTAAACAAGCTCCTATTGGGTGTTTAAAAAAACTCACTTTCCACACAAAAAACACAGACTTCTGACCAAAAAAAAAATTATGCATACAGTACTTAGTGTATGTTGCGTAAATATTGTAGATATTTTAAATCAATTTAAACCATGGTAAACCTGATGCAAACCCAGGATTATTTTGATCAGTAACTACACCTTGAGCATTGAGGGACATGGAAGGTGCCTCCCCGAAAAATGTGAGCAGTGTGACCACATTTGGGCACCCTCTGAACAACAACAGCACCCTGTTGGATGATCCTTCCTCTCTAGAAGCGCCACTAAATTGTTTCTGACATGCATGGAGGAGGAGAAGAACTGAGTTCTGCTATATTAATCTTCTTAATTGACTTTGTACTTGATTAAACCCACATTTTTACCCTTTCTATGCTGATTGAGAAAAGTGTTGCTCTGTTAAGTCTGTTGCAGCACAAAGAACAACCATGTCAACAAGAAGGCTAACAAGCATAAACTCACTTCATCTTAGACATCTCATGAAGAAGGCCAACATCCATGAAACCACAAGCCAAGTAAAACATGCTGGTCTTTAAGGATCCACGAAAGGTAATTTTGTTTATATTAATTTGGAATTCCAGTTGCATTTAGAAGCTACTTAATAGGCATATTGTTATTTAAGCAAAACACATGCATACTCACTGATATTTCAGTATTAACTTCATGTTTGCTGAATCTGTAAACAATAACATATGCAGAGACTCCTGCTACACAAAATATTCTGCTTTCAGGACACCAGTACATCAACTGGACAGCAAAAGGATCCTCTTCTACAATTTCTCCTGCTGGTTTTCCCTCCACCTTGTGTTTCTCAAACACCTTTGAAGTTTTCAATTTATACACTTTCTGCAGTGTAACTGAAAAATATTCAAGTCATCTATGACATTGCTTTAGAATAAACAACAGATGCTATGTATCAGAAATATTGCAAAATCCAATAGCAACCTTCCAGCCTAAACAGTTTTGAGTCTTTAACAAAGGACACTGAAAATACTTGTAAAGTTCCAAGTCCCCGTGCAAAAAGATATTTACATCCAATTATATTTTTAATCAAATGTCATTATGTTCTGTTGCCACTTTCAACTTAATAGTGACCCTAATAGGGTTTTTTAGGTATGGGTGATGTTCAAGGAGAGGTTTACCAATGCCACCCCAACTGAGTTTCCATGGCCAAGAGAGGATTTCAACTCAGGCCCCTTCTGCTCCCGTCCATCATTCCATCCACTACATCACTTGTGCCCCCATTCAGTGACAGAATGCCCTCAGGAAACACTCTTTATAGAGCAGAAAGTAGGACAAAAGTTTGGTGTATTTTGTCACACACTCAACCCCAATCTCCATTGTTTCAACATTTTCTGTTGATTTTTCTAAAGTGATTTACAGAACATTCGGTCCAATGTTATTTCTAACGTGCTGCTCAAATATGCAGTTTTTGCTATGGAGAGCATCTATAGGTGACTGTTAGTATGTCAGAAATCTGTAAATTAATTTTGTTTGTAAGGGTTTCATTAACTGCTTCTCATCAAAATCTGTGACATGCAATTAGCAAATCTGTTGGATTATGAATCATTGTTAAGAACTTACTGGCAGAAGCATCCCAAAATTTTACAGATCCATCTGCATGACTTGAGGGGAAAAAAACACAGGTTAAAAGTCTGTTAAAAACAAGATTCAGAGTCATTACAATCTCAATAAATGTCAGACAATTTTGCCAAGATTGAGCATGTGTCTTGGTTTCCTTTCTTTGTCTTGTATGCAAATAGGCATAGAGCTGGCAAGCCATTCTGGCAGTTGGTCCAGGATATAGTGATTGACAGGCAGGCAAAATAAGGCCAGTGCCTCCCTGGAGGATAATTTTGCTTCCCTTCCCCACAGATGAAACTTCGTTCAGAATCTGCATCCTTGACCTAGTCTTTCACACAGGTATCCAAAGGGAAGTGGGAAGCAAAGCTAATTGATGATACAAAGACAATGTGAGGCAAATATAAGAGGTTAAACTGTGAATGGTCTTTAAAGTTTTGCGTGGTAAATCAGATGAATACTAATCCATGCCAGCACCCTACACAAAGAAGGACAAAGAGCCCAAATGGGGCAAAATGTCAGAGGACAGTGCGGAGTGGAAGCCATTCAAACAAGTAGGCGTAAACAGAGGTGTTTCTTGACAGATAATGGAAGAGCTGGCAAAGCTAAGAGTTTGTGTCTGTAAAAATTAAAGGTGACTTCTGATCTGGGAGTCTTGCTTGTGTGCTGTCAAATCACATCTAATGTATAGCAACCCTAATTAGGTTTTCAAGGTGTGTGATATGTTGAAGAAGTGGTTTGACCAGCGTTCCCCACAAAACCAGTGAATTTTCATGGCTGAGCCCATGCCTCCTGAGTCCTAGGCCATTGTTCTATCCACTGCTACACCACACTCGGTGATGGCTGTTAATTACTGCACTGGCAATGTCAGGTACAGAACAGTAGCAAAGCATAGTAAGAATGGGTATATAGCTCAGGGTTTTAGGTCTCTGGCTGTGGAGCCAAAGGTTGGGAGTTCGATTCCCCACTAGGCCTCCTTGACAGGGGCTGGACTCGAAGATCCATGGGGCCCTTCCAGATCTGCCGTACTAAGATGATTATGATTATAAATTGTGGGTTCTGAGGAACAGAAAAATGAATCAGCAGATTCTTCAAGGGCCAGGAACCTTTAAAAGCCAGATAAAGCCTTACTTCGTCCAGGCAATAAGAAGAATATTCTATTTGTGTGCAACAGGGGGTGGGCGTGAGCGGGAAAGATATTTTTTCCCTATTGAAAAAAACAACATAATTTTGACAAGTTAAGCATCACACTGATGGTCAGCCTTCACTTCTTCATATATTAAACATGCCTCTGATTGTACAAGCACAACTGCACCGTACAATCAAAATAACATGTTTTTATTATATATTAATTTCACATTTAATTTTTTTAATCAACAGACATGCTTCATAGAACATCCTGGTGGCACACAGGCCTCAGCCACCACACCACATTTTTCAGAACAACCTGTAAGTTGAAGAGGAACCAGTCTGGAGGAATTCTGGGAATCTGCTGAGCAGGTACTGTAAATTTGTAGTTCAATCCCACAGAACTACATTACCCAGAATCCTCCCAAATTACCTTTCAAAGGTTTTGTAGTTTACAATGTGACCACAGCTTAGTTGTAACTGCTTCAGACCTTTACTCAATGTGCAAATCATCATGACAAATAAAGCATTTAACTTAATTTTTCTCCTATAAATTGAGCCATCTGTAGAGCGGAGAGGGAAGAGTGATTTCCTCAATTGACTAAATCAGGAAATTAATCAGAACTACTATGAGTGGATTAGGATTCCTGCTAGTACAGTGTGTTCTCTCTAAAGTGACATCACATTTTGTTAAAAAAAAGTCGTTGCCTGTTGTTTTCTAAGGTACCCTACAGATATCTATCTATGTGCATTGGTGTAAAGGTAACAAAGGTTTTTCCTGTTAGTCAACACTACTGAGTGCAGCTTCTACCTCAGTACTGTATCCAGCAGAAGTGCTATATCTGAAAGCACCGTCAATCTGCAAAAAACTTTACAAAACATTCTGGAAAACTGCCACAGCTTCTAAATGAAAGCTGGGCTGTAAAACGCTTTAGACCATTAGGGAAAATGCAGCTGGATGAGAGCATGCAGATTCTGGCAAAGAAGTAACATAATCGCTTCCATGGAATAGATCTTCAAATGGCCTCTAAGCTTCACAAGGCCAGATCTGATTTTTCTTGCAGCTGGAAACCAAGCCTTATGAGGAAAGACTGAAATACTTTCAAATACTTGAAAAGGGGCAGGATCTGTCTCAATCATCCCAGGGAGCAGGGTATGCAACAATCAATTACCTCAAGAGGTGGTGAGTGCTCCAGTACTCAAGATAAATTTAGACAACCACCTGGCAGATAAGCTTTGGTTTGTATTCCTGTATTAAGCAGGGAGTTGGACTCTGTGGCCTCACAGGCCCCTTCCAACTTCATGATTCTAGGATTCCATGATTCTATGCATGCAGCTCGTTATCCTACACACACCTTGAAATCCTCTTCAGAACAGAGGAAGGGTTCTGGCAGGGGGGAACAGGAGACATATCAATGTGAGAATTACACAAGGTAACTTCCTAATTTCCAAAGGAAGTTGCCATGAAGGGGCAGAGGCACTAGAGACCAAATTGCTAACATGCGCTGGATTATGGAGAAAGCCAGAGAGATCCAGAAAAACATCTACTTCTGTTTCATTGACTACACAAAAGCCTTTGACTGTGTGGACCACAGCAAACTATGGCAAGTCCTTAAAGAAATGGGAGTGGCTGACCACCTTATCTATCTCCTGAGAAATCTTTATGTGGGACAGGAAGCAACAGTTAGAACTGGATATGGAACAACTGATTGGTTCAAAATTGGGAAAGGAGTAAGACAAGGCTGTATATTGTCTCCTTGCTTATTGATCATATGCAGAATACATCCTGCGAAAGGATGGACTGGATGAATCCCAAAACAGAATTAAGATTGCCGGAAGAAATATCAACAACCTCCGATATGCAGATGATACCACTCTGATGGCAGAAAGTGAGGAGGAATTAAAGACCCTCTTAATGAGCGCGAAAGAGGAGAGCAGAAAGAATGGTTTGAAGCTCAACATAAAAAAAAAACTAAGATCATGGCCACTGGTCCCATCACCTCCTGGCAAACAGAAGGGGAAGATATGGA